AGAAAAAATAGGAGTTTCTGGAAACAGTAAATGGTGCAGATGGGCCAGAGAATTGGTGCTTGAGAGTGACATGGAACTTGAAAACCTGCCCCTAAAAGGGAGCAGCTAAATGCTGAATATGAGCAAGCAGAAAACAATCCCATACACAGGATGATATTTAATTAAATATGCATATACACATGAGCTTAAAACCCTGTGATCCCTGTGATAGTGCTCTATTAACCAGCTGATAATAGTGCCAAAAGCTTTATAGAAATGTTGGTAGCAAGGTACACAAATGCTAAGCATTTATGGAACTATAAAATGCTGTCTGCTAACCATTACAGGATCCTGCGTATTGATCTTAGTCTGATGATATAACGGTGGGGAGCAGAGGACCAAGGATCAGTATTCTAGAGTGCTGCTTCTACTCATTCATTTGTTCATTAACTCAGTAAACATTGATTGAGTATTTTCCTTGTGCCAAAAGATTAGAGGTGAGAATGCAGATATGAGTAAAGCAGATGTTGGCTTTCAAGAAACTTTCAGTCTAATAGTGAAGACAAACAGGTCAATAAGCTCGTACCTTGCAATGGGATAGGCGCCCTGAAACAGAGTCTGTACACAGAGAGCACGATGGGGCTGGGAGCAGGACAGAAGAATACAGCAGGGAGGGGAGCGAGGCTGAAGGGGTCTCCTATGGGAGGTGGCATGAGATGCTGAGTTAGAATGACAGGCATGCAAAGATAAGCGGCCAAGAAAAGGGAGGCCACAGCAGCAAGGACGTTTAGGGGCTACTGCAAGCTTTTCTTGAACAAAACATGAAGGAGGGGTCTTTTTAATCTGCAGAGCATTCACAGTTGTTCAGGCTGTGTGATTACCTGGCTGCCTGCCAGGGAGACCCATGTGTGCATGCTTTTCAGCCTACTGTGGGGCTTAGTCAGGCGGCAAGTATTTATTATGCACCCATTATGTACGTTCGCCCTAGTAGGCACACGAGGAAGAAAGGCAGGAAGAAAAGAAGCAGGAACTCAAATATTGTGAAAAATGGAGCATTTCGTGTTGAGTGCTGCTTACAACTGTGGCTTCATCTGACTCACCGTGAGCAGAGACAATGAGCTATTGTTACGGCAGCCAACTCTGCGTCTCATGGCCAGTGCTGCCCGCCTGCCCACCCTCTGTGCCCTGGTGCTGTGCGGCTCACCACTCATTTGCATAAAGCCTCTTGATTAGGGTCACATCTTCCCATTACCTTAATAAAGAATTGTCATTGCATCTAAAGAGACACTGGAGATCTTCCTCTTGCAGCTGCTCCTCTTCTAACAAAGTGACCAGAAATCACAAGGGACAAGCAGCATTGGTAGCCCGTGGCTGTCCCTCTACCCAAGTTTCCACTTCTGCGGTGCCACAGAAAGCTGAGAATTCCCTGTGGCACTTTTGGGGAGAACAGGGATGTAAAAGAAGGGACCCTGGGAAGCAAGGCCATTAGCAAAATGCCTGGCAATGCTAAACGTCATCTTTATGTCAAGAGCTAACTGACTTCAGTGCTGGGTGTTTTTTTGAAGAACAGTAATTACAAATGATCATCTGAAGATAAATGAAATTCAGACAACTGAGACCTTACCTTAATTCTGTAGCATAAAACCCTGTGTCAATAAGCTTTCCACGTGAGACTAAGGTCATAGAATATCCTGTGCAGGTTTTTAATCTTTTAGAAGTAAATTGTCTACAGGTAGACAAAATAGATAACGAGAAAGATAATAGTATGTTGTAATACTATAAAACTTAAAGTAAAATGTTTTGAACAATTAATATATGGAAATGCCCTTATTATGTCTCTGGTCAGTTATACTCAGTGTTAGGTTCTGGGTCTCAAGAAAGGCATTGACAAACTGAGGTGGCATCCAGACCCTTTGCACACATCCTTGTTTGTCAGCGTCCTATGCGTCCTTGCTAAAGGTCCAGGCAAACAACATAGCTCAAAACAGCAGCAGCAAAAGCTGGATCGCTCTCCTGTCAAGAGTATTTCCCCAAACTGCAAGAAGTTGGCTTTATGTTCTCTCCTCTCCAATTTACCCCCAGCCATCTCTAAGTAGGACAATAGAGCATCAAAGGAAGAAACCTTTAAATTTCAAGGAGTCTGATTTTGTAAAGAAACAACATTCTTTCCCTTCTACGGAAAGGGAAAAAAAAGAAAGGGGAAGGCAGAGAAGATGACAGGGATACTTTCTGCTACTCAAGCAATTCTGGCATTGATTTCCTTACATCTTTAACTCAGTGTCCCCTGCTGCCCTCAGACACTCCAAATTGCCCTTCCTGGGGCCTCACTTAATCTGCCTCCTAAGAATTTCATTCTCTACATCTTTTATTTCTCCAATCAGAATTTCAGCAACCAGTTACCAATTGCCAAACACACATACATCAGCACATTGATTAACTGAACAAAGGCAAGTAGAGAGAAGACTAATGCAATATCTTTATGCAGATGAGACGATCTACCTAATTTTCCTTGATGGAGGCTTTAAGATTATAAGAAGAAAACAAAGTGTAGAAACTGAGAACATGAATAGATTTATGAGAGTACTTTGAAGTATTTTGTGTGTAAAAAAAAGAGCATAAAAAGTAATAGATAATAGAGATACTCCCAGATGGGTACGTTTTTTGGAGGGAAGGACTGCATCTGTTTTATTCCACTACATACATCTGTATTTCATCATCTAGAAAAGTGCCTGCTATGTAATGGTGCTAAATTTTATTTTCTACTTAACTAAATAAATATCTGGTCTATGGGATTTAATCACCACAAATTAATTTTACTTAACAGGGATTATTGCATTCTTATGTGCTTTTTTTATCTAAATATCCAGTGATGATGTTGATGATGATGATTATCTTGAATCTCCCACTTCCCATGTCCCATCAGGATCCTGGAGATGAAAAATACCTTGGATATTTGCAATGAGAAGAGATGTACATCACCTTAATTTGATCTGTGGTTCTCAAAAATTAAATGGCATTTCTAAACCATGTCTTCTCCCCAAAAGGCCAGGGCTCAATGGCCTTACCTCAGCCTGTGAGCTTATGTGCCCAAGTATTTGTTTCCACCCCATCTTCTTTGCATCTCATTTCTGTTTCTTCTCCACTTCCTTTCCTGATGCTTCTCCTCTATCTCTTTTCCTGATGCTTCCTGTACTAAATATCGGAGTTCCTAAGGTCTTGGTTCTGATCCCACTTCTCCTTTCCCTCCATCTGTCTTTCAATGACGAGGTCCATTTGCATGGTTTTAAACACCAAATACATGCTGCTGACTCCCAAATACCTGCCTATAGACTTGACTTTCCTCCTATGCTCCAAATCGGTAGACCTAGTCCTTCACGGGGTATTTTTGCCCAAATATCTTAGAGGTAAAACAAATAAAACATTTTAGTATGTTCAAAATGCACTCTTTTTATCATCGCACACTAGTTCTGTTCCTAGTCTTTCCTGGGTTCGTTTATTGTCCCATGTAGTCTATACATAGGATTGGAGTATTATAAAATCACCCACCTGACTGTTCAATCCACAAAGCCATATTTGGGCCCCATCCCACCTTTGGAGCCCAACCTAATTTCTTACTCTCCACCTCCAACTATGAGCAAGTAGAACTGTTCTGAGCTCAAAACTAAGCCTTGTATCTGTTGATTTATGTACAGTTCCACTCAATACCTAAATCGCCACCTCTTGTCAAAACCGAGGTAATAAATGTCTCTCTGCTACCAGTCTTTCCCCTTAAAGAGCTAGTCCACACAGCAGCACCTAAGAAAAGAAGAAATCCATTGGGCCAGTGCCCTCTGAGCCACTTGATAGGTATCAACACCGTCAATCCTAGAATGCAATGACAAGGCCTCACGGTGACCTTCCAGGCCTGCACGAGGTGTCCCCCTCACACCTGTCCATAGTCACTCTCTGGCCCCTCCCAGCTACCTCTCCAGCCTCCCCTTGAGCCCCACATATTGTGTGCTCTGGCATCTGACAGTTCTGAGACATGACCCAAGCTTTCCTGTCCTCCACCCTGGAAACTAGAAACAGTACTCCTGTGTTGGAATGCTCTTCCCTCTGCCACTTTCTGGTTTTTTGTTGGTTTGTTTTTGAAACATGGTCTCACTAAGTTGTCCAGGCTAGCCTCAAGCTCATGGTCTCTTCTGCCTAAACTTCCCAAGTGCTGGGATTACAGGCATGCACCACTATGTCCGGCTCATTTTGACCTAGGACACATACCTGCATATCTTTTACCAAAAGTTAATAACCTCTTGACAATTTCCCTAGGATTTTAACATTTAAAAAAAAGAGAGAAATATGTAAAGTCTCTTTATTCTCCTTCATTCTTTCCTCTTCCTTTTTACTGTGAGAGAGTAATGGGTTTTGCTAGTTCCCTACCCTGCGTCCATATCTCCCTTTCTTCTTTCTAACACAACTTTGACTTTGTTATGTCATTCATACATCTCGCACTCCCACCTCCACCCCTTGCTCTAAAGCCCATGCATAAGCAGAAGTCAACTGCACCCCCAACTGTGGCTGATCGTCCAGCAGGGAACAGTAGGCCTTCAAGAGGTGCCTCTGCTTGCTGTTCCACCATTATGGGCTTGCTCTCAGAGAGCTGGGGTGGGACTAGAAGAGCCAGGCTATGTGAATTTTCCTTCTGGTGCCAAGGCACACACTAAATGATATCCTTACTGACTCAGTCTTTATCATCTCTCATCTTCTTACCTCATATAGTTGTCTGCTCTTAACTAAAAACATCACATCATAGGTAGAAGGAAATTGGACTTCCCAAATGTCCCCATACCTCTCTGCCAACACAACAAAGAAAACTGGTTTTTCTTTCTATAGCTAATCAGTTTTGGTTAGTGCATTATTTTCTATAGTTGTGTTTCAACTCCATATTACAAAAGACTTACACAGGTCTAAGTCCCTATTTGAATGCAAGATGTTTAAACTAACAACTCAGAACTGACCTCTCTGTTTCTCCTCTCTGCTTGTAGGTTGCAGCATGTTTACTTTCCTGACATCTGTCACTGCAGCTCTCAGTGGCCTCCTGGTAGGTTATGAACTTGGGCTCATCTCCGGAGCTCTTCTCCAGATCAGAACCCTGTTGGCCCTGACCTGTCATGAGCAGGAAATGGTTGTGAGCTCCCTGCTAATTGGGGCCTTCCTCGCCTCTCTCACTGGAGGGATTCTGATAGACAGATATGGACGAAGGACTGCAATCATTTTGTCATCTTGTCTACTTGGACTTGGAAGCTTGGTCTTGATCCTCAGCTTGTCCTACATAATTCTCATCATGGGACGCATTGCCATTGGAGTCTCCATTTCTCTCTCTTCCATTGCTACCTGTGTATACATTGCCGAGATTGCTCCGCAACATAGAAGAGGCCTCCTTGTGTCACTGAATGAACTGATGATTGTCATTGGCATCCTTTTTGCCTATACTTCAAATTATGCATTTGCCAATATCTCACATGGCTGGAAGTATATGTTTGGTCTTGTGATTCCCGTAGGAATTTTGCAAGCAATTGCAATGTACTTTCTCCCTCTGAGTCCTCGATTTCTGGTGATGAAAGGGCAAGAGGAAGCTGCTAGCAAGGTTCTGGGAAGATTAAGAGCAATCTCAGACACAACTGAAGAGCTTACTGTGATAAAATCTTCCTTAAAAGATGAGTATCAGTACAGTTTTTGGGATCTGTTTCGGACCAAAGACAATATGAGGACTCGAATAATGATAGGTCTAACACTGGTATTTTTTGTACAAGTCACTGGACAGCCAAACATATTGTTTTATGCATCAACTGTTTTGAAGTCTGTTGGCTTTGAAAGTAATGAGGCAGCTAGCCTGGCTTCCACTGGAGTTGGGGTGGTCAAGGTCATAAGCACCATCCCGGCCACCCTTCTTGTAGACCATGTTGGCAGTAAAACTTTCCTCTGCATTGGTTCATCCATGATGGCAGCTTCATTGCTGACTATGGGTATTGTGAATCTTAACATACACATGAATTCCACAAATATCTGTAGAAGCCACAGCTCTGTTAACCAGTCCTTGGATGAGCCCGTGCTTTATGGAGCAGGAAACCTGTCAGCCAGCAACAATATTCTCAGAGAGCACTTTAAAGAAATCACTTCCCACAGCAGGAGCTCACTTATGCCCATGGGAAATGACATGGATAAGAAAGGGGAGATGAACTCCACATTCTTACCAAATTCTGGACTACACCAAACTGAATACCAGATAGCCACGGACCCTGCAGATGTCCCAGCTTCTTTGAAATGGCTGTCTTTAGCCAGTCTGCTCTTTTATGTTGCTGCTTTTTCAATTGGTCTAGGACCAAGTAAGTACTTTATTCTTTATTCTTTTCTTCTCTTCACTATGAATTTTACTGTACTGTTTTTAATCAGTACATGCTACTACTACAGGACCTTGTTCCATGTACATACTAGAAGCAACAGGAGGATAATAATAGCCATCAGACATTTCTGCTAATGTGGAAAGTGTGCCTAACTTATACCTGCTTCTGAAAAGCTCAGTGCTCATATTCAACTGAAGGATAGGTTTTCCATTATCTGTTATTTGAGAATATAATCAGATGAATTGGAAAGAGATTTATTGCCCAAGGGCATTATATTGTTTTATGAAATCTAAGTTTACTGGGGCTGCAATTTTCCTCTATGCCATCTCTGAGTTTACTTATAGGTAAAAGAAAAAAATCAAGTGTTTAGATTTTCTTAAAGACATGATAATGGATGCATCATGAAGAAAGGAATTATAAGTTGGATGCATTATTTCTTTGAGTAAATTTTACAACAGTAACCTCCCAGGGCGCTTCTCTCTCATCCATTAAATAAGAGAAGTGGAGTCTAGTTAGTCCTATCTAACACGATGCAAACAACTTACAGGGAGAAAAATATAAGGTTGTTCAATTTCTAGCTCCATGACAAAGTTTAAACACTTCTCTTGAGCAAGATCTCTCAAAAATGGATTTTCTAGAATAAGTTGTTTTTAGCAGTTCTATAGTTTTTTATCCTCATACTCCAAACCTTCTTGGAACATGATTAGGAAGGTCTTTTCTGTATCTCACTAGGAAAAACAAGCTTTAAAAAATCAGTCTTTTTCTACCACCCCACTTCTTACCTCCTTGTACTTTTTCTTCTTATCCTTCTCCTCTTTTCCCTCTTCTTGCTCAGGCACTCCTCTCTATTACAGAATTAGTTTTGAAACTTATCTATAAGGATCAAAAAGGCAAATAAATTGCTTCAAATAAAGGGAAGTATTGGAGGTTCTAGACAACTACGCAAACATAGGCTGTGTTGAAGAGGGCATTTCAGGTACCAGGTGCTGGATGGGTATTCTGGAAAGAAAGTCACATAAAGGCTTGTTCTAGCCATCACTGCTAACTCATTAACTGTGCATTCAGGAGATATGTATCAAATGAGTCATTTTTTTAAATAACCAAGAACCATGTTAATGCTGGGAAAACAGTAATGAACAAAGCAAGCTTTGTTCCTGTATTCAAGAAGAATATGGTGGAATAAATGAGCTGTATTCCTTGCGTTCATTTCTTGCTGCTCAGCAATGGTCAGGATCGGTTGCTTGCCCAATCTCCATTAATTAGTGACTAGACTTGTATGTGTTGATGTGGCCTCTCCTGCCCCAACCCTACCTTCTCAAAGTTCATAGCTTCCACACCCACATCTAAAATATCAGTTTCTAGATATTGATGTGTTCATATTCCATAGAAGAGGGGACACCTGATGGACCCTGCTCTTTGCTGTGCCAAGTCAGAGGTGACAGCTTAATCAGGTGTGGCAAGGTCGTGTCATACATACCAAAACACAGGTGACTGAAACCTGGCTGTTCTCTAGCTCCTTGAGTAGATATATTTCCCCATTAAAAGGTGTATGGCTGTAGGTAGAACAAACATTACCATCCTGTCAGCCTGATTTTTATGGCTTATTCCTGTACCTTGATTCTACTTCTTAAGTCTTAACAATATTTGTCATTAATAAACAGCTTCCTGAAAACAAGCTGCTACCATCATCAGGATTCAATTGCCTTGGGTGTATACCTGTGAGATACTTATGTGACTATGATGATGTTTTCATGCATTTGATTAAGTATCTTCTGTACATTTTATTCCAAGAAATGTTTCATAGTCTATCAGAAGGGCAAGGTATAGGTGCTATCTTTTATTCAGGAAAACCTTGATCTTGTTTGTGGAACTTTTGTATAGAAACAAGTACAGTAGGTTTGGTTCATTTGATAAACTTCAGGTAGTGGTCATCAATCCCTTAATTTCCTTTACCAGAATCATTTTTCCTCTCTATATTCATGATAGAATAAAAAATATTTCCTTTGTATATCAATTTTCTTCATCTAATCTTTTGAAATATCAAGAATCTACAAAGAATCTAAGAAAAGGTTAGCAGAAAGAAAGAGATGCCCTCTAGGTTTTAATTCAGAGAACCATGATGTTGAAAGAGTTTGAGTCATGGCACATATCACAAAAGACATTGACTTCAACTTCCAAAACAAACATATTTATGATTAGAATAATTTTACCCTCGTGTCACCTTTTTCAGTTTTTTAATAATTTTGAAAATTACAGCAAATCCTTTAGTATATTACACATCATTGATATCTGATTGTATTGGAGTTACCCTTTTCAGAAAATCCAGTTTGATTTTGGAAATAGTTTATGGAGGCTGTTTGTTATTTACCTTCTAGAATTACTTAAGCAACATTATTCTCTTATTCTTTTAAAATATGATTTAAGCTTGGATTCAACTGGTGTTTAATGGGCCACTATTATGTTAAATGCAAGAATAGGAAATCTTGTTTTGGTCTTAATAGTAAATCTTACTGTTTTAGCTTTCCATTGCTGTGACAAAATACCTAAGACAATCAAATTAAAGGAGAAAAAATTTATTTTGGCTCACCGTTTCAGACGTTTCAGTCCATGGTCAGTTGAAACTGTTGCCTTTAGGCCTATAGTGAGGCATACATCATGGTGGGAAAGTGTGTGGTGGAGGAAACTGCTCACCTCTTGGAGGCTGGGAAGCAAAGAGAGAGAAAGGAAGGAAGAAGCCTATGTCTCAGTGTCACTTTCAAGGGCAGGTCCCCAATGATCTAACTTCCTTCCACTAGGCTCCACTAACGCCACGGCTGGGGACCACACTTTTAACATATAGGCCTATGGGGCCCTCTAGATCCAAAAAATAGTAGTTAATTATTTGTAGTTCAGTCCTCTTCTTGAAGAGACATCAGATGTAGGAATGAACAAAAGTAGTGTATAGTTTGTCCATCCATTCTGTACTTTTCAATGGGCCATTCTATATTTTGTTGCAAGACAGAGATACAGTTTCTCTTTTTCCAAAGCTCTTCTAGGTAAGTGAGCATGTACTTTTTATAAGCCTGAGATTCAGGAAAAATGATAAGGAGAATAATAATAATTATGATGTGCATTTACTTGAATAACTGAACTTGATTAAGGAAATGTTGAATGCATGGATCGGTTAGAATTGAAGCTCAGCTGATGTAACAGGGACCAAAATAACAATATCTTAAGTAAGTTAGGTGTTTCTTTCTCTCTCACTTAATAGTTGGAGGTGGGTAGTTTTGGGTGCTGAGGAAGTGCCCAAGGTCAAACATCAGAAGCCTGTAATTTCCCTAGACCTTGTGTTAGCCAGTACTTTAATTCTGCTTCCTAATCTATCATGATGATTATTTTAAAATACTAAGATGCATTTTTAATGTTACTATCCTTGACTAGTAGCCAGGGGTCCCTTGAGAATAAGTGCAATGTACAAAGTGCAGTCAGTTCAAGGGAGATTGGAGAGATAAAGGCCTGAGTAGTCTGTAATCTGAACCGCTGCAGGTGATGCAGGTAAGGAATTTCATAAAGGAATTAGACATGAAACAATTGTGGAAGAATCTGAGGAAGCAAAGGTCAGAAAGAAACGAATGGTAGGGAAAGGAAAACCCTACTGATCAGGGCCCAAAAGGGAGGCTGGTGGAAGGATATCTGTGGAAAGATGTTGACTGTGTATCTGATTGTGGCCTGGAGTCCTTGCAGGATAGAAGAGCTGGCCTCAAGCTAGAGGGAGATCTTTGAGCACTGGAGTCCATGAGAAGAAACTGCAGCCTGCATCTGTTCCTCCCATGTCAGGTCTGGGCATGCAAGCCATCTGCAGGAAAATGTCTGTCCTCCAAGAACTCTGACAATGAGCCTGGGACTTGGACAAGATGTAGGAGGAGCTCTGGCCAAACTTACTGCTCCTCTGGTCCCACTGACAAGGAGAGCCAGAGGTCAGCAACATGGTGCGCAAGCCATAGTGGTGGTGAGGGCCTTGCAGCACCCAGCAGGCACCCAGCTGATGTGTCCCATGGGGCTTCCCAGCTTATGCAGGTTTCTCTTCCTGACAACCTTCACCCAGAAGGGTGCGAGAAGGGATTTCTGGGAAACATATTCGCAGCTTAGCTAAGCTGACACAGCACAAAACCATCACAGTGATAAACTCTGGACTCAGCTGAAATAGATATGAACATAGAAAAATATATTTCAAGAGATTAAGGACCCTGAATTCAGTCTTCAGTTGTAGGGATAGAAAATTAAAATGTTAATTATTAAAATGTATGAATAGCTTCCAATTCCATCCACTTCTTTAAAAAGAGGTGAGATCATCTTATTAATGTCTCTTGGACTTTGTTTCTTTAGCTATAAAACCAAAAAACACTCTGGCTAATGCACTGAAAAGGCTTTTGTGTTTGTTTTCTCAGGAACATTAATTATCTCCCTTGGGCTGATGATTCTCACTTATCTCCAGTTCTATCATCTCACATGACTTTCAGTTCCTTTTTTTCCCCAGCGAGTATGAGGCTTTTCCACTTTGATTCATCACTGTCAACCCAACATAAAAAGCCTAGGTCTGAATTCTCTTTCACCTTACACCAGGATGGCTTACCACTTCCCTTCCTTTCCCATTTCCATGGGCCACTCCACTAGCCACTCAGGGCTGACGCTTTGGGGCTTTTTCTCAATCCAGTCATTGACCAAACACTCCTGGATTTTCCCTCACAAGTGGCTCCTGTGTTTACTGTTCCCTTCCTACATCTTCCATCCTAGTAGCATTGTGTTCTCATGTCTAGGCTACTGGGAGACCCTTGAAATAGTTTACTTCCATCCCAGGCCCTCCTCATGCCCATCCATCCTTTGTACCAGTATTGATTAAATGTCAATTTCCTCATATTGGTCATGCTCCCAAATCTTCCATGCCTTCGTACTCTTTACCACACGAGAGAAGTCAAATGCCTTTTAAAATGAAAAAATGTTAA